GTTTTAGTAAAATGATAACTATATATGTATCTACTGAAATGTTCAGTATCCCAATCACACGTCCATAGTTTGGATTTAAAGTGGGGCCTACTTCACAAAATTTACACTTAGCTCTGAAAATGAGTTTGTTAAAGGATCTTCTCTAGGTTTTCTAGGAAATACTTCATGAAAAAAAATGACAGTCTTTAGAATATACCATGTTTTAGTTATATCCTATGGTATCCCCCTAAATGGTTGTACCATACTGCTTTTGATGAATAATAGTGGAGAATAGAGACTAAGTCCTAAAGAAAGAAAGGTAATCAATATACAAGAACACAACAAAAAAATACCATTGCTGTTGGGATTTAAATCACCACCTCCTACCTACAATATTTCTATCTTCCAAAGCTATAGTCTATAGCAGCCTGCTTCTTACCTAGAGCCAACATTTCTCAAAGTTCTGCCAGTGATGTCGCCTTTGATAATTCTTGCAATAAAAATCCAGTCATGTATGACATTTAGGAGGAAGCAAAAGGTTTGATTTGCCCTGGGGCCCTAGAACCATTATAATGATACCTTTAATGAGAAATGAAAGGCAAAGAAAATTATGGGTTCAGAAATTGAACCAAATCAAAAAAGATGCCAAATCACTAGGCACTAGACTGCCATTTAATGGTTCTAGGTAAAGAACCACATTTTAATTATTATTTTAAAGAATCCAAATTATTGTAAATATTAGTCTAGACTAGAAAAGAGGAGCAATAAAGAAGACCCAAATAGAAGCTTAAAGCCTTCTCAATTATTGCCAAGATGGACTTTGGGCATCACTGATATACAGATATATAAAGAAGCAATGAAAGGCAGGAGGTGGCATGGTGGTTAAGGCACTAGACTCCCATGTGGCTGACTGTGTTTGAGTCCTGGACCCAGGAGCTTGAAGCTCACACTGGACATATGTGTGTGCATGCCTAAAATACAGAGAGGAGAATGGGGAAGCAGGGATTGTGACATGACCATCCCCCCTGAGGGATGATTTCTCTCTTTCTGTCTCTGTCTCTCTGGCAAGGGCACAAAAAATCTCTAAACAAAAATCTATAGCAAAAAAATGTTAAAACAAACAACAACAGAGTTCCTGTCACTATGTCACAAACATGTCTATACTTTTAAAGAAATCTGAGCTTTCACTAAATGGCCATAATAGCAATAACAGGCCACACCCTTTCCACAAAATCTATTCCAATGAGCTATATGATCCACTCACATTTTCATTTAGCTTTTACTGGGCTCCTTCACTTAGCTGTGCCCTATTTCCTATGAGTGGAGTCTGGTTGTATGCTTCTCTCAGTGTCATTTAGCAGACAGCCACTTTTCTTTCCAAGACCCTGTTCATTGAATGTGAGCCAAAGATCTGCCTCTCACACTGTGTTGGAGTCAGGACTCTAAGTAATTTTTGGCTGAGGACATACTCTAACAGAGATGGTGACCTTCTGTGTCTCCCCACATGTCATTCTGTTCACACCCACTAGTCACTGCAGTTGAACAAAAAGTTTGTGAAGAAAGTCATTCTCAAGATAATTTAACTCAGAAAAAAAAAAGGAAAATGTTCTTAGGAAAGAACGATGCTTGCACATTTACAAGACACGAAGTGGCTTGGAGTTCCCTCCACCAAGCCTAGTATCCAAGACCATTAGATGGATGCAACAGACCCTTGTTAAAGTGCAGTCCTCATTCAGACAGCAACATTCCTTGTAAACATGCTAGAAAAGTAGACTCTAGGCCTACTCCAGACCTACTGAATGAGAAAGGGTACCCCCTTTCCCTGACCCCAAGATATACCCACATTTGTGCTTGAGGAGTAGTTGCCCTAGAACAGTGGTTTTCAACCTTTTTCAAGTGCACATAAAGATAAATTACTGATATCTGAGTCCCACCCCCAGAGATATCAAGTTTATCCATCTGGGGTGTGGTGTAAGTGCTGGAAAATTTTAAAAGCTCCCCAGAAGATTTGGAGGTACTGCCAAGGTTCGGGAGCACCTAGTCCAGAGACAGAAGTAAAATATTTCTCCATTTCTCCTCTTGGTCACGGAGTCCAACAGTGGGAACCCCGTACTAAGAACCTCGCTTTTTCAAAGACCTGACTGCAGGTCTGCACTGTAAGTTTGAGTCCTGGACCCAGGAGCTTGAAGCTCACACTGGACATATGTGTGTGCATGCCTAAAATACAGAGAGGAGAATGGGGAAGCAGGGATTGTGACATGACCATCCCCCCTGAGGGATGATTTCTCTCTTTCTGTCTCTGTCTCTCTGGCAAGGGCACAAAAAATCTCTAAACAAAAATCTATAGCAAAAAAATGTTAAAACAAACAACAACAGAGTTCCTGTCACTATGTCACAAACATGTCTATACTTTTAAAGAAATCTGAGCTTTCACTAAATGGCCATAATAGCAATAACAGGCCACACCCTTTCCACAAAATCTATTCCAATGAGCTATATGATCCACTCACATTTTCATTTAGCTTTTACTGGGCTCCTTCACTTAGCTGTGCCCTATTTCCTATGAGTGGAGTCTGGTTGTATGCTTCTCTCAGTGTCATTTAGCAGACAGCCACTTTTCTTTCCAAGACCCTGTTCATTGAATGTGAGCCAAAGATCTGCCTCTCACACTGTGTTGGAGTCAGGACTCTAAGTAATTTTTGGCTGAGGACATACTCTAACAGAGATGGTGACCTTCTGTGTCTCCCCACATGTCATTCTGTTCACACCCACTAGTCACTGCAGTTGAACAAAAAGTTTGTGAAGAAAGTCATTCTCAAGATAATTTAACTCAGAAAAAAAAAAGGAAAATGTTCTTAGGAAAGAACGATGCTTGCACATTTACAAGACACGAAGTGGCTTGGAGTTCCCTCCACCAAGCCTAGTATCCAAGACCATTAGATGGATGCAACAGACCCTTGTTAAAGTGCAGTCCTCATTCAGACAGCAACATTCCTTGTAAACATGCTAGAAAAGTAGACTCTAGGCCTACTCCAGACCTACTGAATGAGAAAGGGTACCCCCTTTCCCTGACCCCAAGATATACCCACATTTGTGCTTGAGGAGTAGTTGCCCTAGAACAGTGGTTTTCAACCTTTTTCAAGTGCACATAAAGATAAATTACTGATATCTGAGTCCCACCCCCAGAGATATCAAGTTTATCCATCTGGGGTGTGGTGTAAGTGCTGGAAAATTTTAAAAGCTCCCCAGAAGATTTGGAGGTACTGCCAAGGTTCGGGAGCACCTAGTCCAGAGACAGAAGTAAAATATTTCTCCATTTCTCCTCTTGGTCACGGAGTCCAACAGTGGGATCCCCGTAGTAAGAACCTCTCTTTTTCAAAGACCTGACTGCAGGTCTGCACTGTAAGTACTGGGGTAACTCCACTAAAGAGCTAACTTTCTGCTTAGTGCTCTGCAGCTCCATTCTTCATTCACCTTCTGCATATTGCTGCTCCTGACACCCATACCTTGGCAAACACATCAGTGACAGTATCACCTGGTGCTTTCAAAGCCCAAACTTGGAGCCCCATTTGAGACCTCAGTGTGAGTCTGCATTAGAGTTTGCATCAGATTCTAGGTCAGGTCTGCATTCCCAGGTGTGTCTGATGTGCAACCAGGTTTGGAGATGGGTGAACTCCACAGTAGGTCTGGCCTTTCATCCTGCCAAGTCATTAAGGATTTGTAAGGATGAATGAGCTGTCAAGAGAGCAAGAGGCTGGTGCAATGCTCCTTTATTAATTATGGGGAAGTGATGTATTGGCAATGATAATGCATCTCTTGGAAAGGGCAATGAAAGGTTCGTCGATTGCTGCATTAGGTCTTCCCCAACGCGACCTTAACGTTCAGCTTTTACTCCTCTCTGTAGTTTAAAAGCGGCATGGCTTTCACACTAAACAGCCTCTTGGCCTTTAATCCCAGAGAATCTTTCTGAGTTCTTGGCTGAGGAGTATTGTACAGTTGTGTAAATCTGATATGTAGGGGGAAAAAAAAAACGCAGTAAGAGGTTCTTAAAAAAAAAAGAAAAAAAGCATTATAATATACACAGACCCCTTTGAGGAGGAAAAACAAACAAACAAACAAAAACAACAAACTTCCTTAAGCAAGGAGGTAGTAAGCAGAACAAAAATATATCCGGATTAACAAAAGTAGAGGTGAGAGACGGGTAGGTGATTGAGGGTCCAGGTTCTATCTGTGGGATCAGGCGAGGAAGTGCTCAGCAGAAAAGTTGCAGCGCCTGTCTACGCGGGCAATCGATCCGCTGGGTGTCTGAGAGAGCGCTAGCGCGCGGCCAGAACGCACTGCGGGGACGAGAGCCCGGAGGAAACTGAAAAATATCCTCAGCGGCCGAAGCTGGAAGGCTGGAAAAGCTCGGTGTCCAGAAACCCGCTGGCTTTACCCCAAGCGAGCGTTTAGGGAGCCCCGGGAGCGGCGGCTGGAGGGGGCGGGGGCGCAGAGGGCCGCGGCGGCAGGCGCGGGGCCGAGCGCGCGGCGGAGCGAGT